TTTAGTTTCTCACCTTTACTGCCAGATTTAGTTTTGATTTGCTCTCAAATTATAATGTTTTGCACTCTGTTGAGGAAAAAAACAAAACAAAAAATAGCACAAAATAGTTCATATTTATCCTAATTTATTATTTGTCAGCTATAAATTTTGTCCAGATTCTTTCAGATCAAATCAAATGCCTTTTAATTAATATTTTACAATAAACAGCCTATTTTCTGTGCAAAGCATAAAAGATAAAAAAAGAAAAAACTACTATTACAACAAAAACTTGTTGCAACATTTCTCAGTAAAAGACATTGCATGAGATATTGGGTGTGTGCATACATTCACAGATAATTAAATTGCATGTAATGTATGAATGAATTGAGGTAGAGTAGCTTAGAGCGGTGGCAGAGATATATTAACATTTCCTATTATGTACTGTATTTGTTTCCTACCTTTTAACCAAAATAATTGGAAGAAAAAACATAAAAAAACATCTAAAAGGTCAGAAGTTTGACAATTTCTCAAACATGAGTATTGAACATGATCAGCATTATCAGTGTAATGATCAGTGTAATTACCAGAGTAATTATCAGTAACTGCATTTCCATTACAAATGTGCTCAAAAATATGTTGATGTTCTCTAATTTGAAAAGGCAAAGTTTTGCAACTGTGGTATTTCCATTAAATGAGAAATACATACTTCGTCTTTTTAAAAGGCAGTGAGGTCCAGCTGCAGATACCATGATGCATGTGATGCAGAAAAAATATTTTGCAAACTATAAAGAATTTAGGTATGACCAAAAATCCACCTCATTGATAATTTATTGAAAACTTTAGTTTTTTCTCATAGAATTTCCATTTAGCAGAATTATTTTCTTAATTACAATTTGATAGTTAATACCTTGTGTTACTGGCCCTTACTTTGTATCGGATTGATCTAAAAATAAGCTGTATTACACACCTCTGGTATAAAGGCATGTATGATACTGGAGCATTTTTTTATACCCCAGATGCACAATGCTAATCATCTATTCTTTTGGAAGACGTTGCAACAACGGACGAAGACATCCAGGTATTCCATTCATAGTTGTCTTTTAAGGTAACGTTAATAAACATTTGGAACTGAACGTTTTCCAACATTATTTAGAAAATAGAAGTAATCTTTAAATTTTTAAGGGCCTGAAACAGGGCAGATTTTGTAAGAATAAATATCAGACACTGCGGAAAAACAAGGCGCCTTTTATTGTGACCCTTCCAACCTATTAGCCCCTAGGAGCCCTAGACCTTTAGCTTCCAGGTTTAGCTCAAAGCAACTGGCAACAGTGCCCAGTCGCAAATTCAGCATTCTCCGTACAGTGTTTCAAAAATCTGATACCAGATCAGTTAGGACCAGTGGATTAAAAAGTCATGGAGTTACTTGTAAAGACAAAACCACATTTTGTCATAAAACAGGGACAGGTGGATTCAGTAATCAAGGTGAGAGTCAGTGGGAAAGTTCAAAACATTTATTAATATAAAAACATAAACAAACTGAAACTAAAGTGGAGCTGCTAGGATCTGCGACTCTCAGATGCTGCAGGAGGGGGGCGGGGCACCGCCCAGTCTCTGACACTCTGGTGGGAGAAACACAGGTAAGTGACCACAATCACCTGACAGAAGACGATGATCTCAGTGAGTCACTTACCTGGTTCAACAGTCTCCCAGGGAAGCTCAGAGTCCAGTAGCGCACAGGACCAGACAGGATCAGGTGCAGACAAGCAGGCTCAGTGGTAGAGGGTAGCAGAGACAGGACATGGAACCAGAAATTAAGCAGGACCTTTAAACTGGTCTCCACCTTGGAGCCAGGCTTACTGGAATAAAAACTGATCCTGCCTGCGTATAGAGCCAAAAATCCAGAGGACTCAGCAGGGGAGACACAGTGGATGAACAGGAGACGAGACAGACACAAAACCCTCTTTCCACTGGCAGCCAGGATCCAGGACATGAACCTTAGAATAAACAGAACTGAACAGACTGAACAGAAAAACAACATCTAATAATCTGGCCATGATAGCTGGAACTGAGCCCAATATAAAGGCAGCTGGCAGGTGGATGAGGTGAATGATAATTAGGAGCTGGAAAGAGTTAAGCAGGTGAATGGCATTAGTAATTAAGGGCAGCTATCACAGCAGATCATGACACATTTACCTCCACTACATTAAATCCTACATCAGAGAACCAAAAATATACCTGATCAGATTAGTTTCATATCTGTTTCGTTGCCTAACAGCAACTTTCAGCTTAGTTTTTGTGTTTAAGAGCTCAGATTCCCTTAAAGAGCTCTAGGTCACATGACCCATTCAATGATGATGAGCAAGTTCATCAGGAGGTCAGTGATAGACACCAAGTGCTGTACATCCACCTGAACAAAACGTTATCTCATATTAGGCAAATATTTTGGTAAAAGCTTAAGGAGTGTTAATATAAACCATTCGTTAAAATGTGTTTTAAGTTACATAAAGACATGTAGGGACAGCCACTGAAAACCGCACATTTACAGGATCTCTTCCTAATTAAGAATTATATCTAAATCTAAGCCTCAACTACTGCTTCCCTTCTTTCGTGGGAACTGGATCCGACATCAGAGAGACTAATAATCCCAGATATTCTTCCTCCAGGTGGTTTCCTTTCCCTTTTTAAACCGTGATTTTCCTACTCTTCCAGTGAAAGAGTGGCTGTATTGATTTGGTCTGTGTTAGTCGGAGAGGAAGCATATATTTCTGGGTTCGGCTTTCTAATAGCTCATGTGGTCTCCTTGTTCTCTGACGGACAGAGATGTTGGGGGCCGGAGCCTTTTAATGGCTAAGGAGCAAGCACATTAACCTTTTCTTTGAAGATCCACTGAGGCCTCTGTATCAATCTCATTATTTTGTTGGGGAGACTGTTTAAACTCAGAGTTCTGCAAGTACAAAAAAAAAAAAAAAACTAGTGCTCACAAGTCCCTTTAGGAATATGCCTTTACTCTTAATTAAACTGTTAAAATGAATTCCCCATTGTTTCAAGCCAGTTTCAACATAACACATTCTAATTAATATTTGCCCTTTCAGATGACCTGGTAGAGTTTTAATATATGTGCCTTCCTTGTTTTATAATTCTGATTTAGAAGATAACTTTTAACTTTAAATGAGATGATTTTATTTAAATTCTCCTTTTCTTTACTAAAACTGAAGCAGGTCAATCTCCAGCCTCCCTTTTCAGGACAGCAGCAGTTGGTTCAGATGTTCTTCAATTATCCATCTATAAATCAATTTTTTTCACAGGTTGGTCTCATTAGGAAGGGATCAGTGTAAGGTGTGCCAGGCTCATAGGAACTGATGTCGCTCTCATGACTGCAGGCCACAAGATCTCTCTCAAACACAAGAAGATGACAAAAACTGTAAACCAGACACTGCAGAATTTCATATATCTCTTAAACATTTACATATGTGGTAACAATTTGTTCATATCCTTTTTTATTTATTTGCCGTATGTTACCCGCACAGTGTAAAGTACAATATCAGAAAATACATAAACATGGCTTTCAAAATGGTTTACAAAATAAGTTGAATCAAATGTCAGAATTGAACTGGAGAATAATTAATTTGTTTGTAAAATAATCTCAGCATAAATCCAGGGGTTCTGTGAATGCTTCAGATTTTTCTGGAATGGACAGAATGTTTAGCACCATGCAGCAAACAAGACATGCTCACTTATCCTGACAGGCTGGGTGGGTAGAGCAATTATCGCTAGGTGTCTAGATCTACAGTTCAGTATGGAGAGCCCATGCCTCCTCTGTGTCTTTATGGATAAAGGGTAAGGGGAAACAGTGGATGTATTAAAAATACTTGGGTCAGGCAAGACCAAAGCTTATTATTTATACCTGCAAATTGTAATTTGTAAAGGAACTCAAATACTGGATTTCAACATGAAGAATTCCTATACTTGATTATACATAGTGGTGGCAGCATCATGCTGTGGATAAAAAAAAAAAAACCTTTTTACAGAGAAGTTACATTCAAATTGACCATCTTAATCTCCTTTACAAATAGCAATGAGCTAAAAGTGAATTGTTCCTGTTGAGACTTCGCTCGAAGGAATTGTGAATGTTACAGCAACTAAAATCAATCAGCAAACTGATAAAGGTTATATTATTTGTAAAAAAAAAAAAAAAAAAGTCAAAGAACCGTTTAACTTTCCATCAGCTTTCAATCTCTCCTTTGTGCTTGACTATCATATAATCTGGATGAAATAATAAAACCTGTTGCTTTTTTTCATGTGTTCTCAAACTCAGGTGGATGTAATAACTTAAACATTTGAGATTCAGCAATGACTTAATGAGAAACTTAATAAATTAATGTTTTAATTAGTTGAAATTCCCTTTGTTGAGTTTTCTCTTTCATAAAGTTTGAAGCTGCAAACACAGTGGAGTCAGTGATCTGTTATAAAGCTGCTGCACTACTCACAGTCCACAGGAGCCGCGACACTTAAGCTCCAAACCAGGCAAACTGGACAAATAAAGTGCTTTTTGTTCTGCAGATCAATGAAGTCGTGGGGGCCATCCTTTTTTTAGACAAATGTAGGTTTGTTGCCATAGCGAAGTTACCTGGGAAACCGATCAGCTGGGTTAAACCCAAAGACTGAGACATGGAAGGAGACAAAACACGGGGAACGTGGAGCACTTATTTTTCTGCTGTTTATTTTTATCCAACACCAAGCTGTTCTCAATTTAATTTGTTGAGGCACAAAAGCGGCAGCCTCCTTTTTATTGATTACTTTAGATATGGAGATGCTTGCATACCGTGGCTTCTCTAAGAATCAATTATATATAAATATATCCAAGAAACACGCAACACCAGCACAATTGGGAACATTTTCCCCCAAAAAAGTGTTAAAATGCATAAAAAAAAGATTAATTCCACTTGTGTAAGTTAAGACGCAGCAAGTGCGTTTCTCACTGGTTCTACTGGGAGGACACAGACAACCACAGGTGGATCTTATTGGTCAATCCCAGCTTCTGGGGCTTCCATAAAACGCGCAACAGGAGCAACAGGAGCGGAGAGGGAGCGTCAGGGCGCAGAGCAGCCGCGCCGCGGAGCGCACATCACGGTCCAGAGAAAACACCTGTTACTGCAGGACTGGGCGCTAAAAGCAGGACGGAGACGCTCTTCAATAAACCTGTGAGTAACACGCTCCTGTATTAGAAGACTGATCTATACTCAGTTTAAGGTTAGGGAAACATTAGAGGTGGAAGGGGAAGCTTTGCGCACCTGTTGAGCTGCGTTTTCCTTTCCAACTTTTTCCAATGAAAAACATTTAAATACAGTAGAAAGCGAACAAGTAGTTTATTTTGATGTTCTAGCCAATAAAAGCTAAATATTTCCAGCCTTTGTTAGAATTAAAGTGCATGTATTGCTATTGTGTTGTTAATGAACAAATACTAAATAGTCCCTCTAAAGAGAAATCCAGGCATCTGTTGGATCCAACAGATTCCTAATTATCTTTTTTTTTATGTGGGAAATACTTTTTTTTTAAATGCACATTTAATATCCTATAAATTATTGCAGTGTAGAGGCAGACTGTTTTTTTTTCTTTTCTTGTGCTGATCTGAGGCTAATCATGTAAATGTAAATAGCAGTTTGCTTTATAAGACATATTTGTCTACTGTGGCCATTTGTTGGAGTTTAAACAAGATTGCATCTTTTCAAACTGCATTACTGTTTTGCTTATCCCTTTGAACACCTATTCCTGGGCATCGAAACAACAGTAATGATACAATTTCTGACATTTTCTTTTTAAATAAACGTTTAGATTATGTTTACATTTTTCTACAAAAATATTACCCTAAAAGAAATACTATTCTCTTTTAATGGCACATAGATAAATAAATGAAATGAACCAAAGGAAAAGAATGATCATGTATTTTATTTTTAAATTCTGGAGAAAGGTAGTACTATTTAGCAGAAATAACTTCATTACATCTTCCAGCCTCCATGAGTCTCTAACATCAGTCTGAAGAACGTTGACTTTAGAGCAAAACATGTGAAAGGTTTGGAAGACAAGCTTTTGTCTCATAATGACATTTAAGACAGTTTGTTTTAGGATGAACTGGCTTGAATGGCCAAAAACATCTTGGCAGTTATTTTGAATCTGCTCCTGTTTTAATATTTTTCTATTCTGATTCTAATCTTGAGAACCTCTTTAAACATTTCACCAGACGTCTAAGCAGATAGAATCTTCTCTCTAGAGCCTGCAGATAACTGCTTTGATTTCACTCTCTCCCTTTAACTGGCCAGACTAAATGCCTGAGGTTTAAACAGGGCAAACCTCCTTTGGTAATGAGGAGGAATGAGTCTCTCATCATGTGGACCTGATGTGATCGCCCTCAGTGGGATATTAGCCGTTCTAACAGGGGATAGATGCCAGAGTGTCCTGATTTAATAACTGCGTCAACTTTTGAAACTACTGTTCTTCAGTTTTAATTGTTTTATATCTGTTAGTTGGTGTTAGGATTGTCATAGATAATATTAAATATCAATTTGTCAAAATATGTTAGACTTTTAAGACTTACAAGGATTTCATATAAAACAATACTACTGTTTGTATTTATCATATATAAAAATGTATTTTGATTATTTTAATGAAATATTGAAATCGTAAAATCCATTTAAAGAGCAGTAAAAAAAAGCATTACAGAAATGTCAGCCTAATGAAAATTGTGTTCATATTCTGTGAAGAATCTGAACAATGAATAATTTATCAGCGCTCATTTTGACCCGAATAGCTACATATTAAGTTTGATGTGGCTTGAAGACAATTGCTTAAAACCAAGTTTGCCTTAATTAAGACCTGCATCTTATTTTCTGTGTTGAGTTTGGTGTCTTCTATATATTTCATGACAATTCCACATAGATTTTCTTCTTGGTTTGGGTCAGAAATCCCTGCAGGATGGTTAATGGTACTGATTTAATGGTAATCAAAGCAGGTGCTGAAGGATGAAGAGCATGCTTTGATCTGAATTTGTACCTCTATCTCATAAATTTTCTTTGGTTTGATTTTCTAAACTATTGTTTTTATGAAGCGAATATAAATTTCTCTACACTTTTTCTTCCACTTAACTTTCCATTAATATTCTTGACTACAGCCTCCTGAGAACAAACAGCTTTACTGGCAATTATCTTTTCTTTTAGACCCTCATTTTAGAGCATGTCAGTTACTGTCTGCTGGACTTCTTTCAATTCAACAATCAAGGCAGTTTCTGTGCAGATCAATACATGGCTATAACCCAGCAGATTCTGATTAAAATTATGTTCAGATCTTTCATATAAAGGTATCTCTAATCTAATCATCTGTAACCAAGAATCTTTGAAAAGGAAAATACTGTGTGTGTGTTACCTATTTAATATTTCACCAGAATTTATTTTAAGATTTAAACAAAAATCATATTTCAAATTATAGACAGATAATTGATCTGAAATTTTGGAGTTTAAAAGCAGTTTTGTTTCAGTACGTTAGCATGCAAGTGCTTTTCTCCCCCGTCTCTCTGTTTAAACCTCTCCACATTTAATTTGTGTTATTAATTACAGAGGTTCCTGAGTGAGACCTGCTCTCCTCCTCCCACTGTCTGGTGGGAAAATGTGGGTTCTGGATAAGATCCGTGGCTCGGTGGAGACGGGTATGCTTAGACAAGGAGACAATGGTGACAGGAAGGCTGTGGCTCCAGCTTACAGCAATGTGCTCACTCCCGACAAGATCCCAGACTTTTTTATCCCTCCAAAGCTGGTCAGCTGCCCCTCAGACCCCGAGGCTCCCGGCATCAAGCCTAAAGAGGGGCTGCATCCTTCCACATCTGAGCAAACTATCAGCACCAACAGGAAGATCAGCAGTCCAAGGAGCCCTCGGCTGGTGGCTAAGATAGCAGGAGACACAAAGAACCTGCTGAGAGCGGCGAACCGCCACATCATCCAGATAGAGAGTGCTGATGACGTCGTGGCTGGGGACACCAATGCAGACCCCCAGTCCCAGACAGCCATGTCCCTCCCATACGTTCCTAAGACTCAGACATCTTATGGCTTCGCCACCCTAAAAGAGAGCCCCCACACTCGGCGCAAAGAGTCCCTATTTCACTGCGAGCTGACCAGTCCAATCACTTCCCCAAACACCCAGAGGAAGACTCCAGGGAAGGGCAGCGAGACAGGGAACCGCCTGACCCCTGCTGACTGCAACACCTCCCACATGAACCCTTACCGTTACTTCAGTGGCGGAGAAAGTGACACCTGCTCTTCTGCGGAATCATCTCCCTTCAGTTCTCCGTTGCTGTCCCGCTCTGCTTCGCTTCTCAAGATCTTCACCCATGAAACACAGGCCAAAGTGGTGAAAGCCAAGCGGACGCTGGCTCGCCACAGCTCCCTGTCCACAGACGAGTGCAGCTCGGCAGAACCCAGTCCCAACATCCAGCGACGTCTCAGAATCCCGTCCCTTCACGGCGCGGCTGGAGCATCTGACCACGGCCTCCAGCGGGAGCACACCATCAACCTGCACAAGGGAGGCACATTAAGGATCAGCGTCAACCATGACTCCACCACGTCACGCTTGCTCATTCGTGTTCTGGTGGCTGAGAGTCTGTACGACAAAAGCGTTGACATCAAAAGCATCAACTGCTGTGTGTCGGTGTACCTTAACCCGGGCAAGCTGCAGAAGCAGAGAAGCAACATTATTAAGAACAGCCGCAACCCCGTCTTCAATGAGGACTTCTTCTTTGACTCCATTAGCTCTGCTCAGGTGAAGAACCTTTCGGTTAAGTTCAAGGTGGTGAACAAGGGCACCAGCCTGAAGAGGGACACGCTGCTCGGCGAAAGGGAAGTTCCTCTGGCGAAGCTGCTCTCTGGACTCTAAAGCCACAGGAGAGGGAGTTTAAAGGGATAATTTGGGATTTTTAAAGAGAGATTCAGGTGAAAGCTTACACTCATTTTTCCTCTGACCTACCATGGATAACTGTTGGCATCTGAATTAACTTTGAATTTATAACCACTGGTCGTGGCAGCTGATGCTAAATGCTAAAAAACCGAAATGGACTCCTACTGTCTGAAAACAACTCTGGTTTCCAAACAATTTGTTTCAAAACACAATCATTTTAATCTCCTTTATTTAGAGAGACATCTATACTTACATTTTGTGGAAAGAAATCAAGGGAGTAAACCAGCAATGATCTGTATGAAACATAACCCCCCAAAAAAGCAGAAAAACACACAAAAAAACCATAAATAATTTCAACTAATTCATTGATTTCTACACTGAAGCAGTCGCTGTCATTAATGCTTCATTAATGTTAAGGTTCAGGATTAGTTGTTCCTTTATTCAGATGCTTCTAACCTTAACCATTACTAGCTGTTAGCCTCAGCCTATGAGACTAACTAATCTGGATGTATAATAAATGAAGACACATACAGAATTATTTACTACAACTAAGATTTATGCTGCTTGTAACCTTTTAACAAAATCTCCCTTTGGATATCCCAGACTGTTGCTTTAAAACTCAAAGGATTGTGGCTAAAACTCTACTTTTGTGTTTGCACTGTTTTCTCAATGACTGTAAGCATGGAGAATGTAAGAAGGAGAAAGGTTTAGAAAACAACCTGCCGAAGGTCTGCTGAGGTTCTTTTTCTGATAATTTATTCCCATTTAACCAAACTGGACTCCAACAGCCACAGATGAATGTGACAGAATAAAGCTCTCCATTCTGAGCACGTTTCCTGGCGTCCTGAGCCAGGTCCTCCTGGTTCAAAGGTTGAATGGCACCTGTGCGTCAGCCCGTCTCCCGTCCTCCACCTCCGACGTGCTCGTAATGGATTTATTATTGTAATGTGGCAGAAATCCGCAGCAGCGCAGGATTTTTTACATGAGCTCCACCATCTGCCACACAGAGATGCTTTTGTGAATGAGTGCGTGCTTTGAAGCGGCCCCAGATCCTGATGTGCAAATGATCCTTTGATCTACAGGGGGAGGGCAAGGAGCGAAAGGAACAGTCACATTTACATGCACATCAAAAATGGAATTTCAATATGATTGATTAAGCAAAAGACTGCAATAATCTAAAACGCTGAAAATTAGAAATGTTGCAATCAGCAGGTATCTGTAAGCAGATGCATGGTTTTGAGCTTAAATTGCTTTGTGGATATTTTTATATAAAACTACACAGCTTACTTACTCTAATCCTCGTTTTCATCAGTACACCTCAATCTGAATGTTGCTTTCGCGGACTAAAGCCAAGAAAGAGTTAAAAGAAAAAACATAACAGTTTTATACCATGTTGTTTTGATCCAATTATTGATGTAGCATTATCAGTTTTTCCTTCTTTTTTTAAGCTAAATCTGAGCAAGACAGTTTGAGTATAACTATAAATTATCTGCATAAAGCTTAAAATTCATAAATCTTTCAGGTGAATCATGCCACAACATACCTCCTTTCTCTAATATACAGGCGTTACCAAAATAAAACCCTTCGAGATATGTCTGGGAAGAGTGTGGGGAAAAAAAAGCAAAAACATGAAATAATGAAGACGACACTTTAGGGGCAAATCTTCAGTTTTGATAATCAAAACTTGTCAGTATAATTAGTTTTTTTCTCCAAAACTGATTTTGAGATGCTTGTTTAAAAATCCATTTGGAGGCTCCCAGCACAAATTTTGATTATATTATGTTTTGACAATCTGAGACTTTACTCCCTGCATAAAAAATTTAAGTGTAAGAAGTAGGTACTATTAATCTGAAATGGATTAATTTCATTTTAAATGTGCCATTAAAGAGAGAAAAATATTTTTAAAAGCCAAAAGATAACCTAATGAGTAACATATCAAATTGGTGTTGGGTTGTATCATGAAGGTTAAGTTCTAAAGCAACATAAAAAGTCAGATTTCAATGCTTTTATCATCCTCACTGGTCAGGGGTCAGAATAAATGCTCACATTTTACAAGTTAACCAGTAAACAGTGTTGTTGCTTTTGTCTTTGCAAGAGTTTTTGCCTACAGGTCAGCTGTTACAGGAAATGAGACACATCAAAAAGCCTGAGTAAAGCTTGAATAATATTAATATTTCATATAAATCAGGCAGATTTTAGGCTTTTTTGTCAAATCTAAAAAAAAAAACTACTGTGTGAATCTATCGCACTAACTGGCGTCTCTTCTAAGGTTGTATTCTTTGCACATATTAGTTCATAACATAAGAACAAGCAGATATCTGCAGAATACATGTAGCAAAAATGAAGCCTTAATATTTCTATACCGTGAAATATTGTAATAACCACACCATTTAAACACATGCTCTACATAAAAGCATAGCCCTTAAAATAAAGCATCTAATTGGGCTTCTTGAGAAATATACGACAAGTCATGATATGTCTGACAGAGAGCATTAGATATGCAGCAAACATATCTTAAAATTATTCTCTCAACCACAATTTTTTTTCTCAGCAGAAACACTCAGCAGAGCATTTAGGCCCAATAACAAATTTAGCCCAGCTTTTAAAATCTAGCAAGCTTATTAAATGCAGCTGACACAATCAGGATCTCTGATTGTTTTGCCAAAACAAAAGAACTAGCGTTCAATTTAAATGATGAAGGTAAAAGCGTGCACTCTTGCAACATTAAAAGTTAGTTTATGATTCTAAAGGCAGAAAATAAAAAGGATGCATTTATGCTTGATCATAGAAGAGCAATATATAGAACGTCCAGCTCAGATTATATCATAGCTGCTATAAAATATCTTCAACAGAATCTTATCCTCTGCTCTTTCATTAAATTGTCTCTGTCAAGAATATGTTCTAAAGTAAACCTATAATCTAATGTAATCTTAAACAATTCTTTAAAATATTATATATAAATTGAGCAAATTTAAGAGAAAGTATTGGATTAATACTTAAAGGCATTAAAACCCCCCAAAAGATCAGTGTTTACAGGATTAAACGTGATACGTATTTGGTTTCTGAAGCTTGTTTTGATCTGTTCTGATTTTCCAGCTGCAGCTGCCCAGTGTGGGCAACCTGATTAAATCTTGCGGAACCAAGCAACAGCCTCTCACTAAATAGGTACATGGCCATCATTAGTCAGACTCCTGATCCCTTATTGGGCTCTAGCATCAGCTTTAATCCTCTGTTGGTCAAATTTTCTCCACTTTAATCAAGCCTATTAAATTTGACCCTGTTAAGTAAAACTTTTAATGGTCACAGAAGCACATTTTGAGTCGCACTGTTGGCAGGAGGATGAAAGAGAAGTTTATTAAACTCATCAAACCATGTAAAAATAATAAAAAAATCAACTGTCAATGTATGCAACCAGTCTTTAGCCTTAGTGCCTCTGTATTAGCAATGTGCATGTAAATGTGTTATTTTTTTAATATATGAGATTAGAGCATTGGTGTCACAGTGAGTACCAGCTGCATGGTATCAATGTGTTGCTGGTGTTTGCATGACATGCTCAAAGTTTTCTGAAACCCTAAAGCCTTACTCTGAATGTCTGCGCATGAAAGAGAGAGAGATTAAGAAAGGTAGTTTTGATGTGAGTGTTTGGTTTGCACGATTTTGTCCACGGTTTCTCACTTTCTATGTAAAAAGTGGAGTATTTTTTTTTGTAAAATGCTTTTAAAATGATACTTGCGGTATGTTGGATTTGTATTCAATCACTGACTGTTTAGGTTTGTTATGTTTCTCCGATTACCAATTATGCACCAGCCAGCCAGACATGCTGATGTCCCAAAAAAAAGTATCAGCTTTAACAAAGCTATTCGGTGAGCGAGGTGTAATGAAGCAGAAGCATCAAACAAGAAAACAGGAGATACAGATGGAAAACAATGTTTGGAGTTTGAATGTGAACAGCTGTTTCGCTACTGAAGAAATTACAGGTGATTTCAGCTCCAAGTCCTTTGGAGTGGAGAGGAAGAAAATGAGTTCTCACTCGCTCCCCAAATCTTCTGTTAAATACTTTTTTTCCTTTCACACTGGGTTTGCAGCCCACTGGTATTCCCCCTATTGATGTGTTCTATATTACTCAGCATACAGAGATGCTGTTAACTGTTTTATGATGGTGTGAATTTGGTGAAATGTTGTAATCTCTGCATTGTGTTGAGCTGTTTTTGGTCTCAATGTACTTTAGATTCAAACTCCTGGTGTAACAAACTTTCTTAAAGGGTTTCTTCTAGCATGGCTGAACTTTCTTGGTTGTAGCTGTGCTTCTGTGTATATTCAGGTGAAACTTTGCTTTAGTCACAAAGTTTGATCCTCCTAACGATGCACATAATACATGGTGTGTTTTGCTGATGGTTCGATGGTGTCCTGCTTATAGAGCTTTACCGTAGTGGACCGTCATTTCTTCTGTAGTTGATAGATATTGATCTCAGACTGCAGAATCTAAGTACATCTATGAGAACTGGCCATGTTTTGTGACACACAGCTGCTATGAATGACACTGAAACTTAAGTTTTAATATTAATGCTGTCATCTATGTAACTTACAGGGCCTTCCACACACAGAGCCAACCCTGTGACAGATGTGGAAGTTTAAAATAGCTTCAACATATGATTCAGCAGCACAATTATATCAGAAAATAATAAAAAAACAAACTGTAATTTATTGACATTTAGTAAATAGGTAAGTCTTACAGCGGTCATGAAACTGAAAATAGTTTCTACACTGCAAAATAGAAAAAAATCATTAAAATTTGTGTATTTCTACTAATTTGAGTTGGTAATTAAGACAATCTCCTGCCAATGAAATGAGTATTTTTACCCTTAAAATAAGATAATTAGATATTATATATTGCAGGTTTTTTTCTTATTCTAAATGCCATTTATCTTCAAAGTTCAAAGTATCTTTATTACTTGCTCAATTCTAGAAAAAATGCATTTATTTAAAAAAAATAAATGTTTGCAGTGTAATCTTTTCTCTTTCATTAAGTTAATCAGTATTTTAATTGGCCCTTTATTTGAATTTTGTAACTCAATAATTTCCTTTGAATTGTAGATGCTCCTCAAAGACACTTACTTATTGTTCTTGGGAAAGACAAGAACAATAAGTAAGAAGTAAGCCTGATGTCATTTGAGGCTCAAATGTCCTAAATGGCTACAGGTTACCACTTATCTACAGTCAGAGCATGAACTCTGAGTATATGATGCCCTCTGACTCATAGTTTTAAGGCTTTCTTCACACCTTTAGCACAGCTGCCTCTAGTTGTGGAAGCTCTGAACATGAGGACACCATTTTATCAAGCATAGGACGCTTTATTAGGTATTATTTCGATCATGTCACTCTGAGGTGCACTAAGAGTTCATCTTGTGTCTTCTGTCATGCCAGTCAGCTGTTAGCTGTAAGAAGTCTTTAAAATGTCCATTGCTGTTTCCTCCTTGAACTGTTTGCACACATCATTTAAGCTGTTAGCAAGTGAAAGTTTTACAATATTTAACATTCGTTGGGGTAGAAATATAATTTTTACTCTTCATTTTACACACAGTTTAAGACGAAGTTCATCTATTTTATTGTTATTTTTCGAATCTATATTATTTGCATATTTTAAACAGTGATATAGTTGCCTTTATTTCCCAGCCCAGATTGATACAGTTTAAGGAATAAGGAGGATTAACTGTGTTCTGATATGGCTAACTGGTTGGACCAGAGAAAATGTTTGGGATCTAATTCACCTTGCATGTTTTTCCTATACCCATCCTTCTCCTGGACCATTACAGGCTCACTGGCAGCTTCCATTTCTAAACCAAGTTCCTAACCATAGCATGTCAGTTTATTTTTCTCAGTGGTTAAATATATTATAAAAAAAATGAAAGAAATCCAAACTTCATAGAGTTTTAGTGACCTCACGCTGTGGAAGAAGATTCACAGTCTCATAACTAAACTACCTTAAGTAGGACTAGAAAACTTATGGAAATGCTTAAATGTTCTTCAAGATGGAGACAAATTAATGCCTGGTTTGTGCAAAAATATCCAGACTCTTATAAATTCTGGACATTTTGTGTATGTTGATTAAAATGAAGAAGTGGTGACATGAGCAGCACCCACAGCTTTTAATGGTTGATGAGGAGGCAATTAGATTATAAAGGTCAAACACAAAGTTAGCATTTTAAAATAAATGAAAATACGGCTGGAGTTATGCTGCGTCAATTTTCAAATTTTTAAAGCCAAGTCATTTCAAATTTATCCCCTAAGTCCTGCCTGAACATCCGATAGATAAAAATATGAAAAGCATGTAAAAAACGTTGCTGCTTTACATTTCTATGAGGAGTTTTGAAACATAAGGAGCAGAGCGCCCTTATATATTTGGATCGTTTCGCACCAGTAGAAGCTGTTTGACTTCCAGAAAACAGTAAGTCAACATGTAGGGTTTGAGTCACACAGTGATAATGTAGTCAAAGATAACAGAAGGGGTTTGACATAAGTTGACAAACCTGAAAACCCAGACTAAGGAACATAGTTTTATTCCATCAGTTTCCCGAAACAGCACAGTTCAATGATCTTGAGAATCCTTTTTTTAATGTTATTCATTTTTATTCATTTGGTGTCTTTTAATTATCTCTTTGCATGCAATTTATCAGTTTCAATCTCAAAACTGATCAAATGTGTTAATCTACAAAGTGGATTTTTAAAATGAGCTTCTCTTGATGACTGGCCTGCTGCTGTGGATGAAAATTCAACAGATTTATAAAAGGTAGAAAGGCTTTACTTATGGGAATTCACATAAGAAACACATCAATGTGTGGGTATGTGTGTTGTACTGATAGTGACTGTTCCCTTTTGGCTTGTTGAAATTTGTGTTAAATAAATCTGTATATATGATCGATAGATTTTCTTTTTTTTTTATCGCTGTCTCAAGACTTTTGCTCTGACAGATGAAACTGAAAAAGTGCCAATCCTATACTTGACTCTTGATTCATCAGTTTATTTTTTTTCTATTGTGAACCAGTTGTGTAGTTGTTAGGATTGTGTTTCTGATCTGTGTGCTTAATGATTTTCACACTGTGATGCTATGACCACTGACAGCTGTTCTCTCTGTGTCTTGATGGGATTGAGATGCGTTCAATAAAACATTATTGGAATCATTATAATGTTGTTTTGCAGTTTTTGTTGTGCCTTTTAAAAGAGAAAATTAAGAGTTAATCACGTTTCTGTACTTGTATTGTGTAGAAGATGAGTTGTGAATGTGTATGTTACTATAATTACAGCTGAAAGTGTTTTTACATCAATAGATTGCTCAACTCTGTCCTCCTGATGTGGTAATGTGCTCTTTTCTAAGCTAGTTCATATACTGTAGCTCTGTCAGTGTGTTTAGGGTCGTTGTATCGCGACATGATAACCCACCCTCAAATCTTTATTAACTTTCTAATAGATTTCCTATCAGGACTGCATCATCTTTGCATCTTCTCATTTTCAAATTAACTTTTCGCTGTCCTAGCTGAAGAACTGCATCCCTGAAACATGATTCTGTCACCATCATGTCTAACATGAAGATGGCATCTTTAGGTTAATGTGCAGCATTTATCTTCAGCCCAGACATTACTTTGCATTTAGGCCAAGAGGCTGAATTTGGTCACATGTGACTGAGAGATGTTATGTCCCCCAAAAGGCTTTTGAAAAACTTGGGGCTTTTTAAGGATTAAAACCCCAGTCCGCTGTGGAAGTTCTGCTTGAGGCTTTTTGCTGTTGAAGGGGAATTGTCATGTTCTCTGTTACTGCATTTATGCTTGATATGAGGGATTGCTGCAAAGCTAACCACACAATGCAAACATCTGTCTCTGGCTGAAGCGTGCTTATCCAGGGGGATTGAATT